AAAGGATAACACTGAAAAACTTTCGAATTATTTGGGGGATCAGAAACAAGATAGGTGACTTTATCAGTGATTGAACAACGGCTATATGTTAACAAGACCTAGTCAACATAGAAATCTGCACAGTGGTGTCCCTTGGGTTACAATTCAAACTTCCCTCCTTTATTAGCTTAGTGTAAACGAATTACCGACTACTACGAAACCACCCGTTCTGCTCTTTGTTAGAAATATTGAGATTCGGACACCTATAAACTGCACGTCTGATAGGGTTAAATAGTAGAGCGGTTGCATGGGTGATCATTAGGAACCAATTCTAGCAAGAGTGTAGTGATGAAAATAAATAACTGCTATTATTCATACAATAAGTAAAGTGATATCACTCAATGTAACGTACTGTAAAAATATAGGAGTCATAACTATTTACGACCTTATAACCACAAGTGACTGTAGGGCTGCCGCAGCCGAAGCCTCAAGGCCTTGTAAGATATCCGTATATTTAATCACTATTCAAATGAAAAGTGTTCAGGATATTACACATGAGGTTTGTGGGGTCTATTTGCTATGAAAGCGAATATTAAACTGACATTTTTGCTCTTGAGTGGTTAGTGAGTGACTGATATTGTCGTCTTTCCACCTTGAATATAACTGTGATTTATCGTAGGAGCATAAATATATATACTAATAAATGTATATTTACGAATAATGAGGGCAGTCTTCTGATTGAAACAGATCTCGTGTGCTTTATTCAAGTGAGTGCAACAGTTAACCGAATGGACTGAACAACAATGACTTGCTCACCACTAAAGCATAAAATAGAACACAGTAAGGTCACCATACACAGTGATAATAAAATTATACTTAAGGAGATATCGTGAATGGACTTTGGGTTTACAACGAGATTACATTACAATTCACAATGAAAAATTACTCAACTTCGGTCAGTTCAAGCAACGCAATTAAAAAATGAAGAACAAAGCACTATCCCAGACGCCATAAAACGTCATTAATAGAAACGTGGGCATAGTTCTCGGGAACTACGAAAATTCATAAGAAACTCCAGAGAAACAAAACCAAAAAATAGTGACTGTCCTATTTAGAATCAAAAGATGAATGGTATGTACAAGTGAATAGGTGAGGAAAAATAGCTTCAGATTTAAATGCTAGGCCAGAAATTACACAACAAAAAGTGTACGTGCAATTTCACAAACTTCCAAGTAGGGTCTTAAACACTGTTAGTATTTAGTTAGTCCACTAAAAGAACATAGGTAAAATCACGGGTGAAAAACCATGACTCATTGTAGTATTTGTAAGAAATTGTGATTCTTTTGTACTTGATTCACCACTGATTATGAATTACATATATTATTTGTTTGCGCCCATCTAGTTTTGCCAGGCGTGAATTGAACTGTTTCGGGAATCCCTAGTTGGTACAATAATTCGGATAATTCTCATCATCAAACCCATTCCATGGATAATTATTGTGGTTTATTAAAGACACTTCAGCTTCTCACTTTCAGTGAGGTACAATTTTGAATACAAGCTATGTATTCAAACAAGTTAAAGACTTCAGCATACTCATAGTGTGGTGTTGTCTACTTATATCCATATAAGTAGTATATGGTGTGGGTCAGACATAGAATGTATTTTGGCAGAAGACCGATGAGCAAAGAACTGAAATGAAGCACAATCGTTTGGAAAATGCATGAGCAATGGAATAAGAGAAGAAACAGTGAAGATTGAAACAATTGGTTGTTAATTTGCAAATTGACTGTTCATTGTTTGGTTATCAGAATTTACTGAGATAGTCTGTAATGTTTGCTTAAATACATTCGATTGTCCCCAACTAGTGTTCTGTTCACTACAATAGGACTGTTTACTTTCCCCCCTTTCTGTTTCTTTTGGTGGCTTACTGGATTATGAAAACCTACACATCTAAGGGGAAGTACGGAATACAATGGACAGGTTGGGTGCAACTAGATGATTCGGACTTCGCAGATAACCTGACCCTTCTATGCCATACACATCAACATATGCAGATGAAGGCAACCAGGCTGGTAGTAGCCTCTATATGAGTTGGCTTCAGCATACACAAGCGAAAAGGCAAGACCACCAAGTTAAACTGGTCTTTAAACACTCCAATGATACGAGATATTGCAACAGTGAAATGTCTTTGAAGATCGCTGAAACGAAAAGCAATAATTTCATTTGAAAGTTAGGTTTCATTCTGTTCCCTTCTCATGTTCTAGGCGCAAACCACTTTTTAAAGGAAAGCATGAATACGTGCTTGCACTCACTCTTGGTAGTGAGCGGTTGGTGTTAGTCGAGAATTTCATCTATTTGTGTAGTTGCAAATAATCGTTGTCGTGTCAATTAACGTATAGTGAAAGCCAGGGAGGCTTGCAGCAATCTGAGACATCTTTGGAGCCTATGTGATGTAAGCCTGGCTACACAAGTTCGGATCTACATCGTGTCAGTGAGAGTAGTTTATCTCTATCCCTGCGAAATCAGACCACTCCGGGTTGAGGATGCTAGACAACTCTATGATTGATCATTGTTGTTGCCTGATTCTAACTGATAACTAGTAGCAACATAATGTCTGAAATGCGGAGGTTCGGCAACCTGTAATCGAACAAAGAAACGATCACAATATTGAAACATCGACCTTGTTGTAAATTCAACTTAGTATTGTTTGTTTGAATCTTCCCATCGATTTGTTAGGACTGCAACTGGTCAGTCTCTAATTTGCATATGTGCATACTGTGCGTATTGCCTCGATATACCTTAATTCACAAGCATGGATAGCAGAGATGGATAGTGGCCAGCAGTGGAATCCAGGACGCGCGTTTCGTCCTATTTGGGACTCGTCAGCTGGATGTACCTGCATCTCAGAGTTGATGTTCACTCTGGGACTCGAACCCAGTACCCTCGCTTCAAACGCCATCGCGTTATCCACTCGGCCACTGAGTCCTGATAGCCACTTGCTTGTGCGATGGGGTGAAGTTTAAATTCACTTAGTATTGTTTGTTTGGATCTTCCCATCAATGTGTTAGGACTGCAACTGGTCAATCTAAAATAAGCATATTTGCATACTGTGCGTGTTGACGAGTTGTGCTATGAATGGCGTTTCAGCTAATTTCACTTAGTATATTAATACCAACTCTAGGGCTGTTAAGAGAGGTGGTCAGAGCACGACATGGAGTCGTGGTATGAAAGAAAGCCGTAGAGGACTGGCGTCTGTCGGTCCTTCATGACTCTTAGGTTGGGGTTCTAGAGGTGGAAAATCATAGTGCACTGAGACACCATAAGACATGGTTCTGATTAGAGGCTTTTAATGGTCCTGTTGTAACTTTTTATTTTATTTGTATAGGTGAGATAAACTTGTTGAAATGAATGAATCCTCTCTAGCTGTATCTTTTTCTAGCTGAATTGCTACTAATACACCAGATTTTAAGTCAGTCTAACAACGATGACAAAACATATATAGTTAGTGCTACAACGAGGATGGCTTTGTCGATCAAAATCTCTGGAAAAATCAATCAGCCTAGCACCTGTCCCACCATTCAGGCTAGTTTCATTATTTCACCCGTCTATTTTGAGATATATGTGGTTCAGCAGTGATCTTCTGGAGTAGCATCGTTATTAAGTCAGAGACGGATCAAATCCAGTTATCGACCTGTCAGTCCAACCAGCATAGTCGTTAGGCTACTTGAAACCGTAATTTGGGTTAAGTTACTAAGTCACATAGATTCTTACAATCCGTTAACTGCAGACGGATACTGAGGGTTAATGGGACGCTATCTGAATGGAAGCAGGTCAAAAGTAGCTTACCTTAAGGTGAAATATCAGGTCATCTATTTTCCCTTCTCTACGTCGATGAATTACCTCTATTGCTCTAGTCGTCGACATTATTGTTTTCAGATGATGTCAAAAAATGGGGAACAATAAGAAGTGAGGCTAGTCATTTTGATTTCAAACTGACCTTGACGAACTATTTAGATGGCTTGATGTTGGAGCTTAGAATTTAATTTTTGAATGGGTGTACTTTTGCATATCGGCCACGGTAACAGTTACCAGTATACTGCTCATGGTACGTCTCTTCCATACGTACAGGAACACGACTTGAAAGAGACTGATCATTCTAATGCAGCAGTTGCCGAAGGGTTTCATGCATTGTGGCCACTTCACCGAGAACTCGGATGGATTGACAAGATGTTTCGAATTTTATATAGCACCTATGTAACACCACACTTAGAGTACTGTATTAAAGCAGCTGGCCTATGTACGATAAATGATGCTAACTCATCTGAGTGTTTTTAGCATGTTGGAACAAAATTAGTGAACAATATTTCCGAGCTCCTTATGATGAGTACGTAAAACGCCTCGTACCCCAGGAACCAATGTGACCTTATATTGATATTTCGTATCTTTCATTACGATTTGGGTGCTAATTGTCTTATCATCTTGCTCCCTTCAGTACCAATAATCTCCGAGTTCATAGCAAGAAGTTTCACAAGCCACGATCTAATGAACTTAAAGTGGGGTTAGGCATTTCTTGAGTGGTTTATAACTGAAACGCCATACCCGAACAAATGGTATTGATGATGCAACGGATGTTCTAGTTTTACAACTAGCTACCAGTAGCACCTTCTATATTTGATCGTTCCCAGTCAGACAGAAATCAGAAGTCAGACGAGAAGAGGCAGGAAAGATATATTTGATTCGTTACCAATATATCGAGGACCTTTTCTATGAGCTGGCTAATGAAACGTTGGAGCTGTGTCCCACGCCGTGTTGAAACGTGATCTGGTACGGATGCATGACCGAAAGCCTTCAGCTAAACAAGTCCACTTAAACACGTGGTCAGCATCCAATGTCGAACACTTAATGTACTATTGATTTTGGGGAATTATTTACAGCTACAGTATCAGACCCCACAGTGAACACTTTTAAAGAGAAGCTGGACCTTAACTTAGAAGAAAACTGTCACAAGTCCACTAACCCAATATCCTTATTACTGAAGACTGAAGATCTGCAAATTTATAATGTCTTCTGAGTTAAATACTGCTGAAACATCACATATTTTCAGGCAATTCATAACTTAGTTACAGGAAAGCTATTATAAAGGTCGAATATGAACGGATCTGGGGATTCGGATAAAGGTTTTAATTTTGTAAATGTTGCTTCTCCCACCGTGCTATTTGAAGTCTGATCTCATCAATTAGTCCTTGACTTGATATTTTTACAGCGCGTAGTACGGAAAAGTTGGGATGCTAGTTGTTGATGTGAGTTCTTCAGTGCTAAATTGATGACATGTACGTTTCAAAGTGCCATGAGGACTGTTATGAACAGAGGTGGCCAAAAGTGAATACAATTGTGAAGCGCATCCTCAATACCGAGAATGTCAGTAGGGACGAGTGGCAGAATATGTTTGCGTAAGGATTTTACCTCACGTTTATTGTTTAGAGATGTACATTATATCGTCTCATGGCAAGAATCAGCAACGACCGCCATCATTTCTTCTCTTACAGAGACTGTTAAGGAATCGATTATGAGAGTTCAGCAGGTAATAATTTCTCATTTCTGGAATTTCAACTTTAGCTTGTTATGCGTAATCAAGATGAATCTTCATTATTAAAATCGTACATAGCTCAATGGAATAAGTTTTCTAAACAAAGCGAATATCTTCCGCAACCATTTAGTCCACTAGAAAACTATCTGGTTGGTAAGCATCTTAACGGTCCCAACAAACGTCATCTTCAAGAAAGTACTATTAGAAAAGTAGCTTGCAGTATGACATTCAGTTACATTTTAGCTGATGCTGGAAACGTGGAACAGTACTATATACGAATCCATAAAACAAAAGCTTCTGGACAGTGCTATTAAGCTTATACAAGATGAAAGATGTGGCCAGGTTATTGATTCACAGCTCGTCATAGGTGTTCGTGAGTCCTGTGGTAAGTGTTCTACCATTTCACGTTTCTCGCATTATTTTTATTGAGCCATGTAGCGTCTGTTAGTGGTTGGTATCGTAGGATCTTTCAAAATTTGATTTCTGACTGACATGTCTTAGCCACTTGTTTCTGCTTCATTCATATACCATCATGTATATTAATTTTAGTAATTCCTCAGCCTGAATTATTTGTATTTATTTCCTTACTAACAAATCTCATTGTGGTCCAATAGCAAGTTGATACGTAAAGTCGCTTAGCTTTGTTGGTCACACATCCTAAAGGTGTGCCTTCCTCAGGAATAAAGAACAGTAGAAATGTCGGAGAGACTATAATTTCTGAGTGAACCACTAAGATTAAGGATAACAGATCCTAGGTTTTGGCATGAAGTGCATTCACTTATTTGTCTTAATAGCGTTTTGGCATTTTCATAGTTGAAATCATAAGTGAATTGAAGCTAGACCACCATGAAAAACCTGGAAGCATTGGACGGCCGTTTCGTCTTACTATGGGACTCCTCAGCAGTGCTGATCCACGATCCCGCACTCGCGAGACTCAAACTTAGGACCTGCCAGTTTCGAGCCAGAGCCCTTAACCGATAGACCACTGAGTCGGCATCCAACGGTGTTAATATCTTGGCATTTTAGCTGATGTCAGTTAGTGATTAAAACCCCAAATATAATTCCTAACCTTAACCATCAACTGTAGTTCATAATGTCTCCATATTTGTTTCATTATGTTAAGCGGAATAGTGCTTCTGTTTCTTAAGGCGATCGTAAAGTACTTTAACATGAAAAACTAAGATATCGACGTTTATTCACCTTGATTTTCAGCCGTTTCTCAAGTGATCGAGGCTGATAATTAAGTAGTCACTTTTATCAAAATCAGTAAAAATCTCAGTGTCTTAATAATATACAAGAACTCAAATCGTTCTGAAGGGTTCAGTTAAAATATCATCTATGTAGAGGCTGTCAGAATCATGAGTTTGTTCGTTACCATGACTAGATTAATAGCAAGAGATCAAAACAATGTGGCAGTGTTAATAAAGTAAACAACTGAACATTGAAAATATAGATCAAAATTACAGATCGGAAAGGTATGTATGAAGGAATACTGGAGCTCATTATCATAGAAAGGCCTAAGAGCGAATGTTTCTGTTATGCCTCGAGACTAATTGTTGATATGCTGCTACTGGAGTCCACGTTGGTTATAGCTGGGAGATAACTGATTCTTGTTCAACGGAACAAGATTGAGTTAGCTGAATGAAATAAGGGAAGCAAGACTTTTAGATGAGGATTTATCTCCAAATAAGCCATTGATTAAAATATCCGAACTAATAAGAAAATGCATCATTTTAAATTTTCGGTCAATAAATGAATTCTAAGCGTAATGACAAATTGGTGAAGGATAAGGTACATGTGGATGCTGAGAAAGTTTATATATATATATATATATATATAACTTTAATTATTCGGTCAGTAAATTTAATGGATTGAACTAGAAGATAATCAATAATTTAATATGTGTGTACGATTTATAAAATCGTTAGATCAACATGTTTCAGCTAACAGATGTTACTAAATTACAGAGTTACGTATTTTGCTTCATCATATTACCTATCCCCTATAATTCGAGTGCACTTGAGTAAAGTTTCCTACAGAGTGACCTTCAACTTGAAACATTGTTCTGTTTCTTGACTCCCTCTTCTTTTTGCGAAACATATGGTATGGAATCATGTTCGTTTGAGTCTTTGACGTTGTTGAATGCCACTTCGATAAAATAAATAAATTGACGGGAAACTAATCTTATTATTTTTGTGAATGTATTCATTTTATTATTTATTTAAACACATAAATATTGGTACAAGGAAGCACCAGATAAATATGCGCCTCACAAATCTCATTCGATTTGTGTGAGGGCTGTGATACTGCCCAGATTCCCAGACTGAAGCAGGTGGTTTTCTTAGGGGGCCACACCCCGAGCCTTTGACCTAAAGGTCTGATCCACAAGGCAGTGGAGCATCGTAGGGAGATACAGTCCCATGGTAGCCGGTGACCAACAATTGGTTCATACGCCATTCGTTCCTTCAGGATCCTGGAGCCCATATGCACCATTGATTTGGAATCAGGGTTTGCCAACTCCCCTACGTGGATCCTCCACATCCACCTACCTGGTTAAAGCGCTGGACATTCGCTTTTCGTCCTCTCACTTTTGTGAACAACACCGGTGCCACGAGAAGGCAGTGAGTAGGACTTCCCTGGCAGAGGCTATATATTCGCGTGGCCATATGAGAGCATTTCGAGAGGGAGAGCAAACTCTTCCCACTCTCGGCCGTACCAGAGCATTTGGGGGCTTGTGAATGTATAGGCGACATCGGTCTTCTTAACAAAATGACCTTTGTATTTCCCTCTTTCATGCTTTACACATTTGTGCTTTTCACGTGAAAACGATAGATACTCGATAGACGATAGATGCCATAGATCGTGTTGAGTTACGTTACGGAGCATACATTATAGAACTACGTATGGGGTTGGCCATTCGATTGAAAAGTCTTTGTACCCGCAGTATTAAAATTAGCTTGTATATTTGATCGAATCAGCTCTAGACTCTTACATATTCTTACTTTTATATCTGTTGGCTAACGCTTATCTGATGTTCTCAGTTTATATAGTCTTTGAATATTGTTAAGTCGCATAATTTAGTGGTCATTTATGCTTGTAATTCTAGGCTGGTTTCATTTTTATGTCTTCTCTGTGCAGAATTGTTAGCAACCATGTACAAAAAATTTGCTGGTCTTTTCTTTACAAAGCTTAAGTATTGCAATTTAAGTGTGTTATTTCAGTATCCTTCACATTCATTTCCCATGAATTCAGTCCCCAGTTTATTTTTAATCCATAACACTTATTTTTATTGTTCAGTCTGCTTGTAAATCATATGTATTTTGTTGTTTTACCTTACGCATTCTAGTCAATTTATCTACGTTATCAGAAAAATCCTTTCGAATATATGTGGATAATTTTGAAAAAGCATATATTGAAAGCACAGAGAGTTTTTATCGTATACGTATAGATGAATACATTCAGAAACATGGAATAAGAGTAAGTACAAAAGTGAAATAAAATAGTAATGATGTACATTTCATAATCAATATTAAATCTCTTGAAATCAAAGAGAGGCTGTGAGATAGCCTTAACTGTCTAGTTATAGTTTAAATCGAACTTTACGTACATTGACTTGATCAGTTCGTATCGTTTATCTTCAAATCAGTAGATTTCGATATGAGTAGTGAATTAGCTATATCTGTTTCAGTCATTTATTTGAGTTCCGAGAATCCATTCCTCATTAAATCTTCTTAACCACTGTGTAATTTTGAACCATGTCACCTAGTTTCGACCACCTATCACCATCTGTTACTGTGTGGACCCATATATATAGTGTGCCCCTATCCACACTATTCAGACCAAAGGTAAATGACTTCATAGACTGATGCCGCATCTCACTTTGGCCACCTTCAACTTACTTCCAACGCGCCTCTTAACAAACCGGCTTTGGGTGTCTGGGTAAGCGATGGGTGAGGATTCGTAACTCATTCTCCAATAACCTCAGTCAATGTTGATTTACAGTAACATTAACTGTTTAGACATTTCTATCTGGTACCCCGCATCCAACTTCACTATTGCTTACTTGACTGTTCCACCTTATGCGAGCACTACTTCGAGGAGATCTGTGATCAGTTACTAGTGAAGTACACCAAAGTAGTGGCTTCGCGGTTAAGTCGTTCGACTTTCGGCCACTAAGTCTTGGGTTCAAAACCAGCCCCACCCCACTTACCTCGGCTCGGGAAATCAGGTGGTACTGATAGTCCTGACGCTTGGATTGTGACTTGCTTCCACACACTTGGTGAATGAGTTGGTTGATTTATTTTTTAGTGACGTACACATGTCGTCTACCTTAAGAGGTCGTATCTCCCGGTCGTAAAACTATGCAAAGTAGACTATTTAACAGTATACTCTCCTCCTAATAGAGAGGTAGGTATTTTGGTTGTGTCACAGTTAATGCAAGTTTGTAATAACCGAATGAGATATTATGAATTTTGTTAGTCATGCATAGACTAAGGGAATGGTCGTGTGTTAGAGTGAGATATACTTCATAATCCAGGTTATCTTCTCCCAGTGGTCCCACTTCAAGGTCACTACAGTGATGGCCAACACAACCGTTACATCAAAGAACAAAAGATCGTACTTTTAATTTGCATTATGAAATTTCTTGGTAACTTGATGCATCCATTGCTCAAAAGAGCAAGGCTAGTCCATCATCTCCCCTCAAGAAATCGACTCAATTGTTGATAATAAAAGCATTTACTGTTTTCCACTTCTTTCTGTACTAGTTAATTGTTAACTACTGGCCTTTTTTATAGTTAAACTATATAAATGTAGCTGAAATTTCAAGCCTTCAAACGTTTATAACACAAAATATCTTACTTCCTTTTGTATATCAACTTCTAATAAATCATACTAGCCAATAATAGTTATTTCATTTTGTATATTCTGAGATTGTTCAAAGTATGGAAACCATGTGATTATTTGGTTACTCGGAAGTTAAATGATAATAATGATTTTTTGTAGGTTTATTTTATTAAATAAATTATTTAACATTATTTCTCATTTCAATAATTCAATGAGAAGACGAAGCTTATCAGAATTATGCGATATATTTGCGCAATACATTTCAAACAGTCTGACCACACACATACTTGTTAAAACATTTTATGTATGAAGACATAAGGGTCAACTACAAAAATTAAAAGGTAAGTGGAAACTAGTCAGTCAGCTACAACGTAGGACCAGGCATATATATGCATCGGTCCAAGTTGTCACACCTCATTAGCACAACAAATGAATACAAAATCAATAGAAGTAGTCAATACAATAGCAGCAATGTATAAAAGAAAGTTTGCATGTAAGGATATAGTACAGGAAGAAAGAATTAGTTCGTAGAAAGAGTTAAATTAAGCAATTCGTCACAGTAAAATAATAATGTCCTTACTATAATCTTTGCTATTTACCAACTTCAGAAAAAATGTGAGCAGAAACTTTGCTTATTATCTACTGATAACCTCAATAAAGAGTTATAGATTGCAGTGCTTCCTAAAAATTGCTCTTCACAGGTTACAAAAGTATTGAAGGTAGCTAACATCTAATCATCGATAAATGTGAATCTATTTTTATCAGTAGAGATGGATGGTGGCTAGCAGTGGGATCCAGGACGCACGTTTCGTCCTATTTGGGACTCGTCAGGTGGATATACCTGCATCTCACAGTTGATGTTCACTCCACCATCCAACTCTGCTTATGACGCTTGTAACTCCGTGCAATATCGAAGCAGTCCCCACAGGATGCACATATGCCAATAGGAGATTGATCAATTGCAGCCCTGAACATCAATGGGAAGACTCAAACAACTAATACAAAAGTGAATCTATTTTGTTTTCAAATGTTTCTCATAGTTCCTAGCTTATTTCTCCCGTACATTTTTGAATCATGTTTGAAATATCCACGCGTCATCAGTAGTAGATATATTTGCACATTATCTTATGAATTATATGCATCATTTCCCGTTAGTGCTTTCAATTTATCTTGTTTTCTTATAATTAATATTTATTTTTTATTAAAAAATACAGAGTTACATGCAATACGCTTTGCAGAAACTAGCTGAAGAAGAGGCTCGAGCTGTAAGATATTTAGAAACTCAGCCAGAATTCAATTCCGTCCCTAAGTTAATGAAAGTATGCCTCAAGACATTTGTAGTCGACTATATGGTAAGTTTGTCGCCTATTGTTTACAATGATATTTTACTTATCAGTACTTTTATACTGAGATATATAACCACAAGCAATATGTTCATATATATTGTTTAAATCATTTGCATACTGTCTACTCTCTATCATAGTCCATTCAAATCACGTGGTACCATTCATATGTTATAGACAATTTATTTTTACAATTAGTAGATTACTTGTTCGAAATTTCACCAATATCGATTGTCTTGGAAGGTTCTATTCACTGTCTGATTTTATAGACTTTTCTCTGCAAATTTCTATATAATTTTTCATTGGTTACATACATATTTATGTTATATAGAAATACGACTTCTTTTGTTGCTGCCTAAATTATACTTTCACACAACTTGCTTATATTATACTTACTAGATTTGGAAAAGTTGCTGAATTTTCGTCTTTGAATATTAAAACTATAGTATGGATTAATTTTTATCAAAAGCGATTGTTTAACTAAACACTAATCATTTCTCATTGAATAGATGAATTGAAACACTATAATTTTGCATAATCAATGTCTATCATTCCAACTGGGTACACTGTATATGAGCATATCGAAAAAGTATATTATTCAATGTGTAGAAAGGGATATAGACTATAATGAAAAGTGTAGTAAAAAAACAGCTAAACAAATGAATGAGATTAGAAAATCCATGGTAAAAATATGTAATCTAATGCGATATATATATATAAACAACCGAAGAAATCAGGATGGCCATCAGACAAATCAAGAGTGGGAAAGCAGCAAAACCTGACAGTATATTAGCTGAAGCTCTGAAGTCAGACATAAAAGTAACTTCAAACATGCTTCACGTTCTATTCAGGAAGATTTGAGAGAAAAAACAAGTGCCATTGGCAGACTGTAATGAAGGATACCTCATCAAATACCAAAGAAGGGAGATCTCAGCAAATGTGAGAACCACGGAGGCTGACATCGTCAACATTCATAAGTTGGACTACTCTGCAAAGTGGTGTATGGAGGACAGATGACAGACGCATTCCAAATGAGAACCGGAATCAGATAGGACTGTTTACTTTCCCTCCTTCTGTTTCTTCTGGTGGCTTACTGGATTATGAAGACCTCCATATCTAAGGGGAAACACGGAATACAATGGACAGGTCGGATGCAACTAGATGATTTGGACTTCGCAGATGACCTGACCCTTCTATCCCATACACATCAACATATGCAGGTGAAGACAACCAAGGTGGTAGTAGCCTCTATATGAGTTGGTTCCAACATACATAAGCGAAAAGCCAAGATCCTCAAATACAACACGGAGAATACCAACTGAGTCACACTTGATGGAGAAGCTCTGGAAAATGTGGAATATTTCGTGTACCTGGACAGCATCATCGATGGACGTGGAAAATCTGATGCAGACGTAAAGGTGAGGATTCGCATAGCAAAGACAGTATTCCCACAGTTGAAGAACATATGGGACTCAAAACAACTGTCAACCAATGTCAAAGGCAGAATCCTCAATACAAACGTAAAGAACTACAACCATCATCAAAAAGGTAAAAGTATTTCTAAATAATTGTCTACACAAGATGCTGAATGTGCACTGTTTGGACACCATCAGTAATGGCCTACTGTTGGGGCGAGCAAACCAGCTTCCAACTGAAGAGGAAATTAAGAAAATATGTTGGAATTGGATGGGACAAGCTTTTCGGAAATCATCGGACGGCCCCATGAGGCAAGCGCTAACTTAGAATCCTAAATGGAAACGGAAAAGATGAAGGCGAAAGAACACACTGCACCGGGAATTAAAAGCAGACGTGAAAAGGATGAATAGCAACTGGAAAGAACTGAAAAAAGATTGTCCAGAGCAGAGTTGGATGGTGAATGTTGGTGGGTGTCGTATTCTTCTCCGTATAGCGTAACGGGCGTAAGTAATTATTTGTGACAAGCTTATGGTTTATACTAAAGCGACCCTGAGAAATCAGTCGCAATAATGTTTCTCAGAGTTAGGATTATTTGTGTAACTTATCGCCCTGTGGAGTTGTATGTAGTAACTCTGCTGCGTAGTACGTTCATTTAGTTAATGGCCCAGATTAGGTTTAAAATGTTGTCACATTTCGAAGGGAGATTGAATAGCAGCTTTTCATATATGCCTAACTTTGTCATCCAATGTATGGAAAACTGTAGAAATCTGAGCGATGATTAACTTACCACTAAGTGTGTGTGCATATATGACAAATTTGAATGAGAGCGTGGTTAGTAGATAGCGGTGTTAAGTAACATTCGATAAAAATACTGGGACATAACACAAGAAAGTCTTTAAAAAATGTCCTAGTAAACTATTTAAATCAGTTTGATGCCTGTCGCAGCAATAGACAATGTATAAAGACCTCTCTGAAAAAGTAGTTTGATCTCTTAAAAAGTTATGCGAAAATTTGTCAGTTAATATCTGTTTGTTCCGTAACATGGGGAACGTTAAATGACGTTTGAGACTCGGTTTTAGCAATATGTTTTTGACTACTTACTAATTTAAAGTAGTGTATATTTTCATATTACATTAATACACATTGAAACCATTTAGGACCATATCCTCTCAGAAGTTCCAAGACTATTACATGAAGAAGATACAAACCAGCTAAGATTATGCTATGAACTGGTTAATCGTGTTCCACAGGAAATTGACCGTTTATTGGTCCTTCTGGAAGAATATATTCGACAAACCGGCTTAAAGGATATACGTACTAATGCAGAGATTATGCTTAAAGTTAGTTAACTTTTTATGCTATTTGGATTTTAATTATTAGATTTTGAATATTTTTACAGTTCCGACTTTCTAGATCAAATACCCTTTTTTGTGACTTCATGATCAGTAAAATCCAAACTTTATCAGTTAACTTTTCTAATCAACACCCTTTTACTTGCAAATGTAATGAAGTATTGCTTTATCGTTTACATATATAGTGATCTAACATTAGGTCAGTTTTTTATTCAAATAATCTTAAACGTCGTTGTGACATATTTGGCGTATGGTTTATTTCGAAATCCAAGACGCGCGTTTCATCCTATTTTGGGCTCGTCAACTGAATGTGCCTACACCACTCACTGTGTTCATGTTCATGCTGAATAAGTGTAACTGTGATAAATACCATTCGATGCGAATACTAGGTGACAGCACGTGAAATTCTCTGATATGTATTGTAGTAAGCAACTTCGGTAAATACGATTCACTAGTTTGATACCTCTTTTAGTGATGGATAAATGACAATCCCAGTTCAGTTCACCTAGGATGGACTTATCTATCTAGAGATTGACTAGTTGCAGTCTTTATCATCAACAACAAGAAAAAAATTAACCTATATAAATAATAATCAAAATGTAGGTCATTGGTTCGTGCGTTTAGTTTGTGAACTACGGATTCAAACTAAGTGGGACTTATTGAAACGGAGTTCTGATGACGAAATCATATTATTAACCTAGTTACACAGTTTTGTTTATTGTTGCCATGTCACTAGATCTTTCTGAGGTCGATTTCTAGTTAAACTTCAATGTATGTTTCATGAAAGCAGTGTTATTCCTCATGTGCACAATATTTATAACATATTATCTACTATACGAACTTATTCACATCTGTCTACCTTCCTGTACTATATCCTTATATACAACCTTTCTTTTATATATTACCACCACTAAATTAACTACTTCTATGAATTCAGTGTTCATCTTGTTCTAATGAGTTATGGGAACTTGGACCGATGCATGTATGCCTGGTCCCACGTTGTAGCTGACTGACTGATACGAACTTATTTATTGTTTGTTGAATCACTCAAAGTGCATTCATTATGAATTTCATGTTTCATAATGAGACTAGTGATTATAAATCATGGGAATAGTTACAACTGTTGCTTAACCCCCTCTGAACTAAGTAGGAAAGCCATTTGGCTTATCTGAAAATGTAAATACCTTTAGTGAAGATGTGTAAGACTGAGAATTTTCACAATAGTGAATGGTTGACACGTTTAGGAGTAATGGTTTTTGGTTAAATTAAGCTATGACAACATGTTTGTTGTATGTTAACTGTGGTAGACACCATATAGCAGAACGATTAGTATCTACCTTTGAGTATATAAATTCTAGTGTATCTACGTTTCATTCTACCAGAAATGTATCTACGAAGAGAAATTTGGATGCAGTGGATAATTTTTATCAGATAAAATAACACTTGTCAGTAGTTTGCATGATTTTGAAATGTCTATCTATAATCATATGCCTAATAATGACATCAATAAATTTATAGCAACCATCCTACAATCAATTTCGATTATAGCCAATTTTGGTTAAGCCCTTTTTTATAACTTACTTAACAGACATTGTCATTTGGATAGTAACAATTTGCATATTCTTTGCACTGCAATAACACTAGAGCACATGACACTCTAGCCGAAATGTTGACTGCTTAAATATCATTCGATGACTCATACTCCTACCCATATATGTACGCACGCAAATATTATTATCAGCCTTTGTTTTGCTTTGCTGTGCCCTTATTAAATTTGACTATAAATTGCCTATGTAATTGCTTGCTACTCTCTCGCTCGCTCGCTTGCTCCTCGTTCGTTTCCTTCGCTTGTTTGCCTGTTCACTCGCTCGTTCATATTCGCTCAGGTGTTGTTAGCTTTCGAACCTGAGTCATTCGACAATAAACTGTAGTTGCTGCTATCCTTTGTCTTCTGATTTTACGCACCGTTAAGTTTAGAATTATAACGGTTATCGAAGTAAACGGTTAACGAATCGCGGCACTACAAATTCATCATACACACACTTTACTAATTACCTTCAGCACTCCTCAACACAATGAAGTTTTTCCTCAAAAGTTTGAGGAAGAACAACGTAAAACACTAGAAGAAACTAGGTAATATATAGGGACTCATAAGTAGTGAAAGTACGTATCGAGTTGGTGATTGCTAGAACTACTCAATATCTTTACATAAAATATAAGCCAGACGGAGAAATTCATTCAAATGTTTCAACATATGCGTAAATTAATATAAAAAATACATCAAGATTATTAAATGTGATATATAGTTTGTTATTTTTTTTAGCAGTTTAAACATCTTCATAGAATATACTCAAAAATAAAGATTATTAAGGCTAATAAGTGCTTCCAATAACTTCATCAGGTTCAGTTAGTTCATAATTATTGTGTTATATTGCAAAGGTCAAAATATGACATGCATCAATTGGATGCCGGCTCAGTGGTCTATCGGTTAAGTGCTCTGGCGCGAGACTGGTAGGTCTTGGGTTCGAATCTCGTTAGTGCAGAATCGTGGATGCTCACTGCTGAGGAGTCCCATAATAGGACGAAATGACCGTCCAATGCTTCCATGTTTTTCATGGTGGTCTAGCTTCAATTGACTCATGGTTTCAACTATGAAAATACATCAATGTATTAAATAGTGTGTTTAAAAAAAGGTAAACTTTCTCATAATTGCTTCAAAAAACGTGTCATTTTTCAAATTAGAAAGGTCATTTACAAAAGGTTAGAACGATACATTGTAAGGTGTTAAGTTATAATCAATATAAGTATAAAATAAATTATGTGAATAAAGTGTATCGTAGGTGAATTTGTTCTGTTTAATGTAAATAATAATAACGATAACGTCGTGTGGTTATACATTGTAATAAGTGGGGTTTTTTCAAGGTAATTATGATTAAAAACCCTTGTTAATTGGAAAAGATAGATGTATAAACTAAGAATGGAACAGGGCAGATATAAATGTGCCAGAAATTAGTGGGTAAAAGGGCCTTACAGTGTCCAATTTAGGTTTATGATAATCCGGTTGTTGACAAAAGTAAACACAGAGATTGAGCACACTTCTTTTGGATACATTAGATCGTCTAGAGTTTATCCTGATGTCTTCAGTTAGTATAGAGAAGTGGAAATCCTAAAGTAATACAAAATGGATAAAGTTTCATCTATCTTATCGTAATGTTCACTATTCATCAATTCTGAAAGGGTAGCGTTGTGAATAGATTTTGCGACACCCTACCCTAACCATACCGACACATGTTCACGAGTACAGCCTACGTAACCAGCTCTACACGAGTAGTTCATTCGGTATACTCACATTTTCCTAAAACGTAACATTGTCTAATTTACTAGCATGTCTTATTTTGGTCCGATGACGTAGTTATTATGAACAATTTCTCGCTCCAATATTCTTTGTTTATTTTCCAATTTTAAATAACGGTGTTCTGTAAACTGAGTTCCTTACTAAAAGTGCGGTTCTTTTGTACAAGTCGTATGTATAGGGTTGTGGAGATTGTTGAATTTAATTAAAACCTTAAACGTATCTAAGTTAGACCACCGCTCTAGATCGAAGATCCTGGATTCGATTCCCACGTGCATGGTCGTGGATGCTCACTTCTCAGAAGTTTTGTACTAGCTCGAAATAGTCGTCCAGTGCTTCCAGGTTTTCAATAACGGTCTAACGTAGGTCGGTTCACGATTTTAATCAAATATTATAACTTGTTGTTTATGCTTTTCAGATGATATTGTTTCCTCTCTTTCACGTTTAGGATGCAGATAAATATGTATGCCGTTTGTTAAATTTATACGTTCGTTTTTCACGTATGGTCAATGATGCGTTCAATAATGATCCACATTTTTTAACTGCACGTGACAAAGCTTATCAAGATATTGTAAATAATACATCCGTTTTTGTGACTGAAATTCCAACTTCTGTTTGGTAAGCTCTCCAATGGTTGCAAATAATTAATAATAAATATTTTCCCATAGAGTAATTATAGGTGTTACTATTTATCGTCAATACTAATTTGAAATGGTCAATTCTTGTTTCAATAGTTAAGTACCCACTTAAAAGCACTTTGATATAATAGCAGAATTTGGTTTTACACAGTCAAACTCAGTTTTTTTACAATATGTAACTAATAGTTTCACTTCGAACTGATTACCGTATTACTTGTTTACATGATATTCTAAAGTTTTGTGCATTTTGAACCAGGTCAGTTCAGACGTCATAGATTAGTAGTAGGACATAGGCTCAAGTTGTTACATTACATCAACATAGTAAAATGAAATCGAAAACTGACAAACAGAGGAGTGAATGTAATCGCAGTTCCCATAATGTAAGTAGTACGATTCTAAAAGAAGTAATGAATTCGTGGAATGAAAAGTATGATATTCTTCTAAAGTTTACAATGTAGAAGAAGTTAAAACTGAATGCCTTTATATCACTGTGTCCGATTTTTGAACCAATTAAACTTTCAAAGATCTCCAGTCGTTTATTATGATTGCTACATGGATTAAAACCGAAACATCTGTCTCTGCTCATATCTCAGTTCACCAATCAATGGTTTCTTTTCCTAATACTGCTTCCCTATTTTCCTGCTCGTAGAATTTTTCTATTCCTGTTCTACATCAAACAGTATTATTTGTCGAGATAGTCTATGGTTGGGCATGTTTAACATATTCCTTAGTCCTCTCAATTGATGAAGATTCACATCAATCGATTTCACACATTTACCTAGTACCAAGCGTTTCGCATCATCTTTGCTCACCTGGCTGTTACATTACACGCTAATAATGCTTCAGTGACATCTGTAATCATTTTTCACACCTGTGGAAAGAATACAGAACAGCTTGTTGGAAAGTATAACTGTTCTTTGATGATAGGAAGATGGATGTTTTGCTTGTATCATAGGTATTGCAGATTAACAAAAGTCTAATTGGTGTTTTGCATTCGTGTTATGATTTCATCAGACTTCTACTTACTTAGGTAAATTATTGAGATTTCTGATAAAATCGAAGTTATGAACTCACTAATTATTTCGTTTCTCAAGAAGGATTTTGAACCGATTGCCTTCAGTCAGTAACCATAGGAGTCTTTGCTAATGTAATCAGTTATTTCTTTTGTAAATTCACATTTACAAGTAATTTTATTGACAAAACTGTACTTCATGTTCACAGTTTATTAAAATTAATAGTTCGCACACGATATTGACTTAAGTGATTGAAGAAGGTAGTTATTATAGACAGTTTCAATAAATGCAACTTCAAACTAAACCATTTCTTTAGTAATCATCATTATTATTATTTGAACACATAAATATTGGTACAAGGAGGCACCATATACATATGTGCCACAAAAATCTCATTTGATTTGTGTTAGGGTTTGGATACTACCCGGGTGCCCAGACCGAAGCAGGTGGTTTTCTTAGAGGACCACACTCGAAACCTTTGATCTAAAGGTCTGGTCCAAAAGGCAGTGGAGCATCGTGAGGAGATGCAGTCCCATAGTAGCCGGTGACCGACAATTGGTTCATACGCCATTTGTTCCCTCAGGATACTGGAGACCATGTGCACCATTGGTTTGGAATCAGGGTTTTCCAACTCCCCTAGGTGAACATTACATGTTCACCAAACTGGTTAAAGCTCCAGACATTCGCTTTTCGTCCTCTTAGGTTCGTAAACAATAGTAATCCCACGAGAAGGCAGTGAGTAGGACTTCCCTAGCATAGACTGTATACGCGTGACCGTGTGAGAACATTTCGAGGGAGAGGGCGGACCCTCCCCACTCTCGGCCGTACCAGGGCATTTGGGGGCACTAGTAATCATTAGTACTGGTTTATAGCAATACAACTTTCTCATTATTGGTTTACTGTAAATCATTCTGAAATGATGTATATTAACATTTTCTACACTATTTGTTAGTAACGACAATCAATAACAAAGTAGCTTTTTCTTCCAATTTAAGCAATTTTGGATTGTGAGAAATAATATTTCAGTGTTATTTTGAACTGTTTCTATATTGATATTATTGTATTAGTCAATTACAGGAAGTGCATCTGCAAGTTAGTTACATATTGGTTTAATTAAACCATAACAAATAGAAGTACATTAAATTGTTTATCGCTTTTCATACAAAACTACCATCAAATTGAAATCAACAAAAAGATAATTTTAAAACATTGTACGTTTATTTTTTTGAGCTAAGGTTTTCTCAAAAAAATGGAAAAAATGCTAACGGTTATGTACTTGGGATCTTTTTGCTTGACCTTAAAGGTTATGGTAGCACCGGAGATCTGAGTTTCATATCTACTAATATAAGTATAATATGAAATCATCCTATATTTTACAAAGTTGTGAGGATGGGAAGCAATTGTCTTGCGCTTTAACCGGCGTGGTGAGTACGGAAGATCCATGTAGGTAAGTTGGAAAATCCTGATCCCAAACAAATAGTACACATGGGTTCTAGGATCCTAAGAGAGCAAATAGCCTATGAACCTGTTGTTGGTCACCCACCACCATATGAAACTGCAACTCTTAACGTCGCTCCACTGTCTCGTGGATTAAACATCTGAGTCAAAGACTTGAGGGTTGGCCCCCTAAGAAAACCACCTGCTTCGGTTTGGGCACCCAAACAGTATCTAAACCCTCACACGAAATTAACCATATATTGGTGCTCTCTTTGTATCAGCGTCTATGTGTTTAAATAATGAAAGCAATAATAAGTTTTAAAATAAAAAATGGAAACGAATTACGTCAGACGGTAGCCACAAGTTTTTCAGGTAATTTGATAATCTTGAATTACTTGGGTGTTCTAATAGAGTTAAAATACAGGTTTCGAAGCCTAATTCTTTTCAAGTTAAATGATTACAGTAAACCTAACAGATATTTTTAAAAATTCAAATTAACTTTTTTCAAGTATCACGCTTGTACATCTTTTGTCTATTCTTGTGTTTTTTTTTTCTGAATTACTTTTTCAGTAGCGGTATTTCACGTGTAGAATCTCGTTGTCCTGAATTATTAGCGTCTTATTGTGATATGTTACTTCGCAAGTCACCAACTAATCGTCGTTTAACAACTGATGAAATTGAACAAAAATTACGCAATGTTTTATTAGTATTAAAATATGTCAATAGTAAAGATATTTTCATGCGTGTTCATAAATCTCATCTCACTCGACGATTAATTCTAGAAACATCAGCTGATAATGAAATGGAAGAATTGATGGCTGGACGTTTACGAGTAAGTTAACAAAAACCAAACTATTGTCATTTTTTGTTGTTACTTAATTGAGATTTTTGTTGATCATAGTTGGCTATGTTGGTCCATATGGTTACCCAAGTTCACTTGATCAAATGTTACCTGTTAGTACCTGTTAGGAGTCCGCAAATATTCCTTGACGGATTCTTTAGAAGCCTAGAAAATAGCTGAAAACCCTTTTTTTCCAGTTAGCATTGAATAGAAGCTTCTCAGAAACATCTGGAAGAACGAAGGACTACATATCATCTTTTGTATCAAGTATCTTAGGAGTATTTTTCTCGTAATTCCTTAAGCTTGAATAACGAATCACTTGCAAAATTAAGTTATGAATACTGAAGGGATATAATTTAGTTTGTCAGTTTTTTAATCCTAAATCCTCTCTTTCTCTGTGTGTGTTATGTTACTTTATATTTAATGACCTTTTTATACCAAAATATTGTATTTTCAGGAAGTTGGAATGCCAGCTGAACAAATTAATAAACTTGGTCGAATGTTTCAAGACATTAAAATATCACATGACCTTACTTCTGAATTCAAAGAAAAATATAAAATATCTCCACAGTGTTCTACATCATGCATATCAAGTAATACACCATCGTTAAATTTAGACATCATAACAATTAAAATTTTGAGCGGTGGTGCCTGGCTTTTACGTCCTCAACCACAATCATCTATTTCATTACCAGCGGAGTTAGAAGATTTCCTTCCTCAGGTAAGGTAAATTTTGATAATGTTAAAGTTACCATGCAACACACATATATGTGTATTTATAAAACTTGACCGTAATTTGTACGGGTCTAAATTTCCACTTAAAATGTAATTCAATATTTGTAGGAAAATGTCACAACTCAAAGAAATTCATTCAAATAAACATCACTGTCATCTCATCCACACATTTCATATATACTAATAAATGTAGAAATGAATGTCATTACCAAAGTTTGACATGATAATTTCAAATAAATTGAGCATTGGGTAGATTGTTGTAAATAAAAATAATATATTTTTGTAATACCCTAATGAGTGAAAAAAACAGGTCATCCAATCATGTTGACAATGTTGAAAATAAGATTTGGTTCAGTGAGTATAAGAAATTTTATATTAGTCCAAAATAGATCACAACGCCAGTACTGGATTCCACTGCTAGCTACCACTCATCTTTGCTTATAATGCTTGTGACTTGAGGCAATCTGGAGTCAAACCACACATGATGCACATGTGCCAACAGCAGACTGATCATTTACAGTTCTAAACATCAATGGGAAGATTTAAACAACCAATACAAAAATGAATTGAAAACTTCGCCTCTTTACACCAGCTGATGGGTATCTGGACTCAGTAGTTAATTGGATAACGTGATGGCATTTAAAGCCAATGGTATTGGGTTGCAGTCTCGGAGTGAACATCATCTCTGGGATGCAGGTACATCCAGCTGACCAGTCCTAAATAAGACAAAACGCGCGTCATGGATTCCACTTCTAGCCACCATTCATCATTTCTTATAATGCATGTGACTTAAGACAATATCAAGTCACTTCTGATAAGAAGCACAAACGACAATAAGAGACTGATCAATTGCAATCCTAAATATAATTGTAAACATTCAAACCACCGGTACAAAATGGATTTGATATGAAAAGTTGACAAAAGTATGTTAAAACAGCATATTGTATGTATGTGTAAATGGATGTGAGGTGAGAGAAAAAAGTCCATCAACTGCTTTTGATTAAATCAGATAGTTTTTATAGATGACATCAGTTAAACCTGTCAAGAAATACATAAAATGATTGATTGTTCATCATCTATTCAGATGAACCAGCTGATTAGAACAAATAAAAGCGATTGTTATTTTTCACATAATAAGTGATAGATTAAACGGAATAAAGACTTCAGTTTGACTTATTCATGATTCGTTACCATGAGACAGCTATTTTTATTACATTCCACCTAATAATACTATTTGGATTTGTCCATATATGTAGGACTTCTGCTGTTATTATTCTCTCTTTTTATATGAACTAAAACCTTTTTTCACGATTCTTGTTCTATTGAAATTAATTGTATGATCAAATTCAATTGAGTTTAAAGCTATTGCTGGTTTTTCGGGGGTGTTCTTCTAAGGATTTAGGGATATGTTTCAGTGGAGTTATTTATTTTTTAATAATTTCACACATCCCCATGATTTTATTCATAATTGTTTCTAATATCACTTCATTTCATTTGACCATTCTGTTACCTTTAATTATTGTAATAAAAAGTGTTAATTATCTCATTTCATTCACATTATAACCCATTTTTAACTTATTCACTTTACAAGGTACTTTCTATATGCACACATACAATCTTTTATTGTTACCATTACCATTACGTTATCTAGGATTATAATCTTTCTGTTACTTCACCTTCTTTATCCAATGTTTCTATATCCTCATGAAATTAATAGTTAAAATCATAGTCTTTATTTCTGTCTAGTCCTATTGATTGTTACCCACTTAAAATTATTACCCCCTTAAATGTTACTCCTCCTCACACTATACAACTTCACAATCTAAAATGTTACCAGTGATCTATACTTTATAAGACGTTGATGAGTATGTAACATATCAGTATCGATTATCAATTAAATATACAATATTTTCATAATATAATGGATACTAATAGATACCACCTGTAGCTTGTCTAGCGTTACTGTCTATCCCAAGTCCACATAAAGGAGGAGGGTTGGGAGTTGAGTCAGCAACCCCATCCTGTAGAAAACAACTTCGTTGTAAGGAAAATACTAACCAGAATAAACAATTTAAATAAGAAATGGAGTATTGTAAATGTATTCTATATCTCTTTCAAGCTTACTAAATATGATTATATATATATTAGTGTTTTGGTTAATAATTGTATCCAACATTCATTACTACTATTCACTTCGAATAGTTATAATTAAATAATAATTACCAAGATATTAACTAACTATATTTGTCTGATAAGTTTCACCATATTTTATTGTTTTGTTACAAGATTGAAGATTTCTATCGTCAGAAACATCAAGGTCGAAGTCTTCTATGGCAACATCATTTATCGCACGGAGTACTGGCTTATACAAGTGATCATGGTCGTTATGAATTTGAAGTGACCACTTATCAGCTTGTTGTTTTATACGCTTGGAATAGAAGATATGATCAACACCTTCATTTAGATTGTTTGCTTACATCGACTGGATTACAAGATGTTGATCTTCGTCGAACATTATGGGTATGCTTTAAATTAGTTACTTATATAAATATATTTATATTGCTGTTTACGCCACTTATGTGAACATAAATAAATAGTATGTAGCAGGAATCGGTAGTAGAATACTTACCAGTAAAACAGTGACAAAGAGAACAGGAACGAAAACGAAGAGTTATCGGAATGTCAATAGGATTGAAAGAATAATGACGTGTGTAAAGGATAACTGACAGAAAATATGCAGATGATGTATTTCGATATATGATTTTGATATTTTGCAAAGCTACTATTTTTGATTTTACATAAAACAATAAATTGGTTTACCCAACTGTGTTTTCGTTTACAACACTATGTCTTGTGTAGTTTGTTTCATTTATTCTGAAAATATTGATAATATTATCCCTTACCAAATCAGTTTTCTAATATTCTTGATTATCGTTAATCATTTTATGTTAAGATTTATGTTAAGTTTAATTCTATTTAAGGACAACTAATCATTGAAGTGTTCGAGAAGTCATCTGTTGTCATACATAATGCAGAAGTATAAAAAAAGTAATGTATTATTATTAAGGGGTGTGGTCCCCTAAGAAAACCACCTGCTTCAGTATGGGCACCTGGGCAGTATCTCAGCCCTCACACAAATCGAATGAGATTTGTGTGGCGCACATGTATATGGTGCTTCCTTTTACCAATATTTGTGTTCAAATAAATAAATAGATAAATAATTATTATTAACACTAAAGAATTCTTTGTCAAGAAAGTGATACTCACCTAATGCGCTAGGTATGTGGAAAAAGTTTACCTAGGTTTGAGCTTAACTCATGCTAATGTTGTCATATCTGTTGAATAAGAAGCTGATAATAAGTTCAGACTACAACATGATTGTGTATATATTTATAATTTTTTTTAAATTTATAGATAAATGTATTTGATGCATACATTTGCTCTGTGTTACGTACGCCTTATTCTTAGTGGAGAGTTCTGTTGTTATCACAGAAGTAAGCTGAAGAGTATATAAGGTTGGGGGAAACACAGTAACATATCAGTCCATGAAGTCATTGACTGTTGAACTGATCTGTGTGTGGATGAGCGAAATTCCTTATTAGAATCTTTGTGATCTTAGTGATCAATGATTGACGAGTTTGGATAGTAAAAATGGCTTAGAATTAGATGAATATATTCTTTATTCAAAATACTGTAATCAAGGATTAAATTCACTTCTCTACTAGGATAACCATTATATAACTATCGGAGTCTTTCTGATAAAGACAGTATGGTAAAACTTCCAGTTTTCATGTTTATAAACCTTTTCTTTCCCAACGATCACATACAAACCGAATATTTACAATTTGATTTGATTTTCTATTATCAACAATCCTTAATTTACATGCTATAATTTTAAATGATGTATTTTGACTTAAATCTGGTCACTTATTGGATTATTCATTTGGATATATGTAAGGACGGCCCCAGGGTGAACTCAAGGAAGCTCTAAGAAGCTCCGAAAGAGCCAAAGACATTCCATCCAATTATCTGGGAGAACATTCCAGAATCTCCACGTGTAGCTTCCCTATTGTGCAAATGCTAAAAACTACTGTATACTGACTGGGAAACTGTAACGACGATTTTGTTTTTACTAAAAACTACCTGAGAGTTTTGTACTGTTTGGAATAACATTCCTTCTCACTTGTCTTCTGTTTTCTAACTTGGAGGGTTGGAGGGTTCTAGAGTTCGAGCGCTCAAGTAGTACGTTGTATAGCAAGAACCAAAACTCTGGATATAACAAAATATAATTGTAGAACATGAGGAGAATTTATTGAAAGGAATATTCTTTGTTCATATATCTTTGTTTTAATATGATGGGAATTTTTCAGCAATTAACTATTTGTTTTTCACTATTCAAACATGGATACTAAGATACTTAAAGCGTTTTTAGAATCATTCACTTTTAAGGACTAAATATTGCAACGATATAGTATGACAATATATACTAGTACACTATTTATATTCAACTACTGATACGTTGAAAATATGTTGTATCAATGTCAAAAATACATCTTACCATTCTAACGTTTTTTGCTGGAATACTATCTGATTGTATTACTCTTGGAAAAGAATGTATCTTGTTATTTATTTGCAAAAAAATAGTAGAAACGACGATCAAACAGCATGTCTTTCAGGCTTCTTTTTTCTGTAGTTCGACTGTTTTTTTTCTTCAAATTTGATTTGATTCATTTGAGTGTTCATTACGATTTCATGTGAGTGCAAGAGGTGTTTTGTGCAGAGAGACCCTAGGCACGCTGATAGATATACACACCTAATGAGATAAATTTTCCAACACTGGTAAGAAGCAACTTCCCTTTAATTCCTGGCTTTGAATGGTTGTTTAATTTAGACTATTACATAGCGTACTTCATGGAATGTTGATTTTTTCTCGTCACATTTTCGTTTCGTGTATCATTTACACATCGTGCTGTTACAAAGTCTCATATTTGACTATCATCCTTTTTATATTCTTTATATATTTTTTCCCATACTTTTTAGTCATTATGTGAACATCCTAAATTGGAACAACAGATTGTTTGTTATTCTCCTAAAGTAAGCTCTGAAAAACAATTCACTGCTAAAACAGAATTCTGGCTTAATTTGAAATTTACAAATACGTAAGTTATTAGTAATATTTGAATAAGAAAGACAACTTGTATTGTAGAAAATATTTACATTAGTTTGCCTATCTAGTGATATATACGTAGTTTACTTCTGTACCTAATCCAAACTACTCAAATTCTGAGTTATTATGTTTATTTATAGTTTGATTTCGTGGTTTTGATATAGCGCCAATGAGGGAAAATGTTCTCTAGTTCTATTACACCATGTAACTTCACTGGGTCGTTATTCAATTGTAATCACATTGCAACTGAAAATCAGAGTTGCTTAGGGTGTCTAGAAGGCTATATTTTGTTAGTGTTGTGATTTAAAAGGAAAAAAAACGTTTGAGCGGATGACGTAACCTAAGGTATCAGACGACAAAGTTGTATTTATGACGAAATTGAATAAAAATGCACAGAGTAAATAACTGTGGTGAATATCGTTTAAATCAAACATTTTGTAACAGCAAATGAAAATACCTTGCATTGACAGACGATATTACAAAACCCCTCTACTGATGGTACTAAATACCTTTATATTGGGACATGTAATAATTGTTGTTTATTGTGAAACTGAATGAAAGGCAAAAAATTGTCCTATCTAATCATGGCATGGCATACAAATTTGTTTGCTCTCAGAGGTCATTTGTTTTTGAATTTCAATTTAACTTTGGATTGTTTTGAAAGGTAAGATTTTAGATACGTGACTATTTAAACTGGCTTATATTGATTGTTACAAAATGTATCTTTTCTAATGAATTAAACGATTCGCCAAAGGAAGCGGTCAAAGATATTGATTTGCTTGCTTATCAAGCTCCTGCTATTAATAATTTCACTAACATCGTTGTACTTCAATTTCTAGTGTCGTCGACTAATAAAACTTGTTACTTTTTAACTGCAAAATCTTGGATCATTGATTGACAGCGCTCAGTTACCCAATATTCAGTCCTATCTGTGTATTGAAACGCTAGGTTTTGGGACTTATGCATCAAACGTAACTGATAACTGAAGGAGTTGAGGTTTTAGTTTTCTATCCTACTGGAAAGGTTGCCTGTATATGTTGCCTTACATTGTTTAATGAGCGAAACTCTCCTGTCACTTCGGGACAGATAGCAGATAGCTAATAATCAATAGAAAATGTTTATAAAAATGTGTATTTAGGACAGCCGGCAGAACTTGAAATAGTGTGACTAAACAAACGAATTCAGATTATTGGAAACTGACAGAAGATGTGTTCATATTCAAACATTGAGTGGTGAATTAATGGTGAATTCGTTCGATTTTCGACCACTATTTTTCGGGTTCGAAACTCATGCAAGTTACCTAGACCGGAACTACCATGTTATACTGCTCACCCTCACACAGTGCAGTTTCTTATTAAATCAACGCGACAGACTGATTTGATGTATTTTCAAGGGTTCAGTTAAATTTCTTAGTTCAGATCATAGACTGACCTTAGCTAGATAACTGTTGAAAAACAGGAAATAGACAACTCACTTTTTACCATTACTCTTACAAGGTCTTGTCAGGCATCGAACCTAGGGTTTTTTTTGTCTGACAGCAGTTACTTTGGATCAGTGAACCGGCATCTAATGGTTTGCTTATCTAGCCTCAATCAATCCTAGATTTTGTGCAGCCATCTTTCAATCCCGAAAATGTGTAACCGCCTCATATCCATCATAGTCGAATTTATTCAGTCATGGGATCTCATTAGGACTATGGAAATAACCTTAAAATTAGTTACTAGTTAGTACATGATGATCAATTACTTTAAGAAGTATAATAATAAGATTAGGTATATGAAATGAGTTTACTCTGATACAGACAAGTGGAAGAATATTCTATGCAATTTTTCAAGCATCAAAATTTCAACAAATCATTCCGAATGTACTACGCGCTTCATTTTCTCTGTACATTTTAATTGTTCTTTTTGTTCTTATAGAAAAATGGGCAAAGTTCAAAATCGACGAAGAATCAATCTGATCGGTCGTCTCCAATTAACTCATGAAATAACAAATGAAGAAGAAAGTATGGCTATTGTAGAATTGCGTCAACTACGTGCACAAGAGGGTATAATTAAATTATTAAAAACACGTAAACGTTTACATCATAATGAATTATATCAAGAATTAGTTGATCTATTAAGATTTCAATTTGTTCCATCAAAACGATTAATTAAAGAAGTATTAGAATGGCTTATTGATAAACATTATGTTCGCCGTGATAATAACGATATGAATGTATTTGTATATGGTACTTGAAAATTGAATGCCTTTCTGTTGTTTTTTCATAGCTTACTATTTTAAATTTATTTACATGAAATCAATTAGATCTTCACTCCTCCTCCCCCCTCTGTTTTATACTTCCCATGTAATTAGTCTCCAAAAGAACAAAAACAACACTCAATGAAGGCATTGGTGGTCTTTTTCTTCATATGTATCACTAATTTTTCTTTTGTTTTTATTCCTTACTATTATTATTATTGTAGAATGTGAAGTAAGAGGGTTGAAGTTTGGTTTTTCATTGTTACATTCTTAATTATTTTTTTCAGAAATACACTGTCTTTTAGTTACCAGTTATTTGTTCGTGATTTTGTAACGTATTCGATATTTTTTTCTGTTTACTTCATGGTTAATAGACTGGTACTAAATAATGTTTTAAATGATATTCTAACGGGTTGATGTATGAAAGTTATCTAAGAAATGATACGTGTTACAAAATCATAGAACAATAACTTTTTCATATCTTCTATGCTCTTTCTGCTCTCTTTCAATCTGATACTATTTGGCATAGTTGCTCAATCATTTGTATTTGTAAAAAAGGATTGAAGGACATAGTTATAATCTTTGTTTCTTGGTAATATCTCAGTTCTGTATTTGTCATTGATATTCATAAAAATTACCTGTGAACGATTTTATTGTCTAGCGAACTTCAACATTTCTTTTTTTTACTCTACTGTTATTCATTCTTGTCATTCTGACCTATTCTTTGTAGGGTTTTATAAAATCCTAACCATCTCTTGCTACTGAATAATGCATAACTAGTTCCACTTAATGTATTCAGTTTAATTTATTTGAAGTTTAGCTTATTGATGTTAGAGTTGAGTTTGTCTTTTTATTTCTTTTTGTTGTTGTTGTTGTTGCTGTTGCATTATCTTCAAATTATTTCATTTCATATTTTTCATTTGGTTTATTTTCGATTGAGTTTGTCAATTTCCAGTGGTTTCATCATTGTATAAATTACTCTAGTAATGTCTATGAATGAAATGAACGAATCAATAAAACAATTATTATTTAGTTGAGATCATGAGTCAATTGAAGCTAGATCACTATGGAAACGCTGGAAGCGTTGGGGTCTAGTTTCAATGGACTCACGCTTTCAACTATATAAAATTACTAAAATCTTCACAAAACCCCCTTCTGATAATAATAGTGATAATTATTTATTAATTTAGTAAACATTTTCATTAAATTAGCTTATCTGTTAATGGATAATTAAGTGAGTATGATCATTTAATTTATGTAATATATTCAGTTTATATAGAAGAGGGTTGTGTTTAAATTTTGTTTAAATGGAAGTAAATGGTTTTCGTCAAAAGTATTGAATTTGAAATGATTGCAATTTTGTACATTATTTTTGTTGTGAATCATAGAATACGTGCACAGTATGTTGTTTTAACATTTTGATTGTTCATGCTCTGGGAAAACTGGGATTTTTCGTTATAGGTCCATCCATTCCACTGAGAAAAAGATTTCATAGGAAGTTTTTTTAGTTAGGTTGTGTATTTTAGCTTTATGGGTCGTTTGAGAAAAAAAAGAGGATTCTAGTTATTCTTCGATTCACCACGTCAGGTCATGTAACTTGAATAAATGAAAGTCTTTCCATTCCACGAGGCATCACATATTCTTTCGACTGCTTTATTACATGCAGTGGTTATTCGTAATGTTATTCCCAAACACATCAAAATATTACCAGTCAAAATCGAACTCAGATCTCGCAGTATTCCGAAGGTCGTGATGCTGTGTCCCATAAACTAACATCAGTGGTTGATGAAGATCTGACTGATCTACGAATTGTCTTTAAATCAGATCTAGAAATTAAGTTTGTCTCATGGCGGAAACACGAGACGAAACATTTTCGTCTATATATGTGGCTTCAGAGTGACATATCGATTTGATTTGTGTATTATAGGTGTGTATGTAGTGCATATTGCACATTGAGCTAATTTAAAAGAAAGCGAAATTCCACTAGAAAAATGTATAAATATTTTCCTTTTTCCTCCTGTATATGGTAGTTTTGTTAGTTTTTGCTTCTAAACTATCACTAAACTTGTAGGGACTAATTAGCAATCAAGTTAGTCATGAAATGTTTGTAACGTCGATTCTAAAATAGATACAATAACTGTCTGGTATCTTTCAGTTGTTTCAATGCATTGTAATTGCTGTGTGTAAGACTGATCTCTGAAATTGGGATGGGAATAGTGTAAAATAAAATCAACATTTATTATTCTAAAACGACATTAAAATGTGATGATATCGGCTGTTCATGTTAATAGTGGAATCATTTGTAAATATGAGTATATATCTTAGTAACCACAAACAGATCCGTGTATTAGACAGTAGGAAATATGTATGTTTTATAATATCATTCGGTTTATTCGTTCAGAATCTTTTAACTCATGTTTAACTAGTTGTTACTTCTTTGTCAATCTGTATTAAATTTTAGTCATTTAAGTGACCTTTCTTTGTTGCAGATGATAATCAGTCAGTCATAATCAACGTGGACCCTAATACATAGTATACACTAACTAAAATTACGATTCAATATTAACAGGACAAGAGAGATTTAAAAAAGACGAATATCAAAAGAATCGAAATAATTTAACGACAATGTTAATAAGAAAGATTGAGTATTGAGAATATAGTTAGAAATCACTCAGTAGAAAGGTAATATACGAAAAGTCACTTGTACTCAAGGTCGAGAAAAAACAAAGAGTCCCATCTTAATGGAATCTGAACCATTTTTTCCAAAGTCTCTGTCTACTGTTCGTAGTTATCGCGCGGGTCCTTACCACACAGACTATATTTACTGACATGACTCAGTGGCTTCATGAACTTTTCTGCATTTCTTCCAACTTCACAAATCGTAGCTATTCGTTGGATTGACGTGTACTGTTAGCACACAATCAACATTATTAAATTTGAATACAATCTAACGGACTGTTTGTTTGGTGTTGACAAAAATATTGAATAAATAATTTTCTTTAAGTTATAAAGCGAACCTGGAATTGTTATCTTGGATTTTATTGAACTGTTCCTTATCCTCATTCTTCGGCGAAATCAGGTAGAGCTTATACATGACACATTGGGCCAACCAGAGATCAGTCAAATAATAGACGAATATGTTTCGGCAAAAAGTGATGTGTATTTACTAGGGATTCGACAAACCATTGGTAGCATGATTTATCTGTGATATATATATATATATATATATATATATATATATATATATATATATATAACAGGGACACATATGGATTGGGTTTGTCAATCAACTTCTTGTTATCGGGCTTTCCACTTAAGTATAACCAGTTAGGTTCGTGTATGGGTAGATTGTGTAACATTTATTTATTTATTTATTTAAACACATAAATATTGGTACAATGAAGCACCAGATAAATATGCGCCTCACAAATCTCATTCGATTTGTGTGAGGGCTGTGATACTGCCCAGGTGCCCAGACTGAAGCAGGTGGTTTTCTTAGGGGGCCACACCCGGAGCCTTTGACCTGAATGTCTGATCCACAAGGCAGTGGAGCATCGTGAGGAGATGCAGTCCCATGGTAGCCGTTGACCAATGACAGGTTCATCCGCCATTCGTTCCATCAGGATCCTGGAGCCCATGTGCACCATTGGTTTGGAATCAGGGTTTTCCAGCTCCCCTAGGTGGACCCTCCGTGTCCACCAACCCGGTTAAAGCGCCGGACATTCGCTTTTCGTCCTCTCACTTTCGTAAACAACACTGGTGCCACGAGAAGGCAGTGAGTAGGACTTCCCTGGCAGAGGCTATATATTCGCGTGGCCATATAAGAGCATTTCGAGAGGGAGAGGTGACTCTCCCCACTCTCGGCCGTACCAGGGCATTTGGGGGCATCCTGGAAGCACTGGACGGCCGTTTCGTCCCATTATGGGACTACTTAGCAGTGCGCATCCACGAACCCACTCTCGCGGGATTCGAACCCAGGACCTACTAGTTTCGAGCCGAAGCCCTTAACCGATAGACCACTGAGCTAATCGTGCTGATTGTGTATCAACATTGAAATTGAGAACTTCACGTCACAGCAGTTCTATCTGATGAATTCAGGTAATTCCAATTACATGATGTATTTGTGTCTAAAATACTGGAGGGAAGATACACTTCATTAGCATTATTCTATTTCTCCAGCAACCTTTGCTTTAATGTTCATCTTTTTGAGGCTATTACTTCTAATTCAGGCTATTTTGGAATTATATTAATAGATATTTATAATTGTTCAACAAATTGGAATAGTGGCATTAAAAATCCTCCAAATTAATCCTATGCAAAATGTGCATTTGGGAAGTTCTCTGGAAATTAGGGAAGTCCCAATCCGCTTCAAGAACCAAAGATTACAGGATTCTAGAAATCCGCTATAAAGTCATCGTCTCAACTGTTCAGATTATCGGGACCTTCAAAATCTTGGTGAGACCGTCGGATAACACGGGCGTTTAGTGGGGAAGCTATTAAGTTTGTGTTCTGGTAAGAACGTCAACATTGGGTTGCAGGTATATCCGACTGAAAAGTTCTAAACAGATTGAAATATGAACCTTGGATTCTCCCAATAACCACTATCTATCTTAGCTTAAATACTTTGGTTTCGGGTTTAACCTGATTGTCTTCTCACTAACACGGTCTATGTCATGAATATACTATCATCAATTTTTCGACTTAAAATGGTTCAAAGCTAATAAATTAATGGTAAATTTATATTATTTCTGATGAAAAGCAAAATCTTATGCCTCTAATATGTAATGAACATGTAAAGCTATCCAGGTGATGAAAAACTAGCATTTCCTAATATGAATGGGCTAAGTAACCATTAAACCACTATATGTATACATACATATATATTACTGCATTCACCTGACCTAACTTATTCTGTGTTCCCTAATAAAGGAAGTGGCATTTACAATATAAGAAAACTGAAAATATCATTGAATAACCCAACAAGTTATATATAATCTACGTTTATATGTTTTGTAATTAATATTGAAGAATTTCCTCATAAATTCATATTTATTTTTGTCCATTATTTCCACATTTTGCTCTTTCTCTCTCTTCATATGATTGAATTTTTTTTATTTAGATGAAAATATTTGAAGTACATAATTGACGTTATAATTTTCAAATATTTTTGATACCTCAATTATATAATTTTATAGTTAGTACCTATTAGTGAGCTATAGGCCACCAAATGCCCTGGTACGCTCGAGAGTGAGGAGAGTCCGCCCTGTCTCTCGAAATGTTCTCACATGGCCACGCGTATATGACCTCTTTCAGGGGAGTCCTACTCACTGCCTTCTCGCATCAGGGATGTTGTTTGCAAAATAGGGAGGACGAGAAGTGAATATCCAGCGCTTTAACCAGGTTGATGGACACAGAAAGTCCATCTAGGGAAGTTGGAAAACCCTGGTTCCAAAGCAATAGGTCTAGGATCCTGGGGGAACAAATGGCATATGAGTCAATCGTTGGTCACCGGCAACCATGGGACTGTATCTGTTTACGATGCTCCATTGCCTTGTGGATCAGACCTTTAAGTCAAAGGCTCCGGGTGTAGTCCCCTAAGAAAACCACCTACTTCAGTTTGGGTACCTGAGCAGTATTTCAGCCCTCACACAAAGCAAATGAGATTTGTGAGGCGCATATATATCTGGTGCCCCTTTGTATCAATATTTATGTGTATAAATAAATAAATCAAAATAAATAGTGAACTATAGAGTTAAGCCAATGTAATCATGAATTAAGAGTAATTATAAAGGTTTCAATTTTTCTTGCTTATCAACGTGCTCCAACCATTGAGTTTAAAGATTATTTTATACTTATGTGTAACAGTTTTATTTGTTATTTTTAAATCACACCCTTTTTTTAGTTCACTTTACTATCATCGATACTGATATTATTTCAATTTTTTGAATTTCCACCGTGTTGATTACCTCTCTTGTTTTACTGGTATGGCGTTTTCGACCGATACAATTTTACCAGGTTCCATGTTGCTTATACGAGACTAACTGACTGATTGATGAAAGTATACTGTCCAGTCACAATCCTTATTTAGTTACGTAGTAACATAGTCCAGAGATAACAAGGTGTTTTTTCAAAAAAATGTTTGTTCAGATGACAGCATGTTCCCTGAACGAAATTCATTCCAATTAAGAAGTATACTTTTTCAAAGCATCAAATTTTTGATGCTTAGATAAGTGGCACCGATAAGTTAGCTAAAGTCTCTTTCACATCCCTCCACCACATTGTTTGTTATAGAAAAGTCATTCACAACAGAAAAGTAAATCCAACACATTTCACGTTACTAAAAGTGTTATTCCCCATTTTAATACTTACCTTTATTTACATGTGCCTTTTGATAGTCATCCTT